CGAGCACAAATTTTATTACCTGTTACAGACAATTGACGTCATCATTGATGTTTACACACCAATATGAAAACGTTTGAAAGGCTCCTTGAAAAAATGCCTGGCAGGTTTCTTTTTCTAAATTGGAAAGTTTGATTTGCATTACATCTAAACATCTTAAGCTGCAGAGTTCCTTTAAAGACTTGATCAAAGCCCCAAAAAACAGCTTATTTATCATATAAATATGTATTATGCTGGTCTCACACATGTCAGGTAACTGTAATGGTAAAATATAATGATTCCATCATGTTATCTTATATCAAGATGCCTAACAGCTGATATGGGGTTTAACAAGGGGAAAGGTACAGTGCACAGCACATATACAGTAATGTTTCAACCAAGAATATCTTATGTGACCTCATGTCATTCTTTTCCCCATATAATCTGTGTGCAACACAGCTGTGTGGGGGAGATGGGAAAGAATAAATAGTCTCTGACTTAAACCAACAAAGGTTACAACCTGGGCCTAAGAATAGGTAACATGACATTACATTGTACCATGACAAAGAGTTGTTCTTTCCTGTGGTCGTACGATGTTGGGTCTTTAAACAGATTATAAGATTACAAGAAGTTTACAACTTCCTTCCATATGAAGTTGTACTTTTATCCATTGGAACAATTTACAGAAAAGACTTTGACTCTCGAGACTTTATTCTTGATTCCTGATTGCTTTCTGAAGTTTTCTAAGTTGGTTCACTATTTCATTTGAGCAGTACACAATAAAAAGAGACAAGTATGATCTGCATGCACAAGTATTGGTACAAAGTTCACTCGACCAAGACTCAGTGTCTCTACAGTAGGTTTCTCTCACATGAGCCAGGCTGCAGTATCTTAAGAGTAACGATTAGCTTCATAGATTTTCTAAACCAGGGGTAAAAAAAGGCATAGATCAGAGGGTTGAGACACGAGTTGAAATAAAACACACATATTAGAATGTTAACAGACGAGAGACTGATCAAGCTGTCGTGGCCTGAGAGGGCAAAACAATAATATGGGCAGACGCACAATAGAAAGACGACAATAACTACACCAAGAGTCCTGGCAGCTTTCATTTCAGATTTTTTCGCAGTTATGGTCATTGAAAACTTGAGAGGTGAAGCTGCAACATGAGGCCTCATGGCACGAGCCTGAGTCACAGCCACCACAAAGACTCTCATATACAGAACTATGATGACAGTGACGGGACCAATAAAAGTCAAAAAGAAATCTGCAAGTTCAGCAATGTAGTTAACCACAATGACACACTCTCCAATGCAGGAAGTATACCTGCCGTTTTTTTTCAGGTTATCTTTTAGCAGCAGAATTAGAAGGAAAGCAGAACATGTCCAACACAGACAAACACAGATATTAACTCTTTTTTGTGTGACTTTGTTGGAATAATGAAGAGGCTCACAAATAGCCACATATCGGTCAACTGATATGAGCACCATGGTTCCGACTGAGGAAGAAACAACAATATAGTTCAGAAAAATATATAGGATACACATGAAGTCACCTAGAAACCAGCACCCATCTATAAGCATTGTTTGAAATAACAAGATGAGGCCCACAAAGAAGTCTGAGACGGCCAGAGAGAGCAGGAGGAGGTTGGTGGGGGTGTGGAGCTGCCTTAGGAGATAAGAAGACAACAAGATTGTCATTATTGGTAGCAAAAAACTGTCACATCAAGAGATTAAAAACATATTTCATTTTTTCATTCAAGTTGGAGTTCTAATTATGAGTTAAACCATTGACCATTTCTTTTTAGCTAGCAAATAGATCAAATATCTGAATACTTGAAGTGGGAGATGGAGATGATGACCAGCAGGTTGAGAGTCACAGTGAGCAGAGAGATGGAGGATAATAAAATGTAAGTGAGCATAAATACAAAGTGAGGATTCACGGCCTTCCTGCAGGAGAAGTTGAGGAGATGAGGAAAGCAAATTTCATCTTCTTCAAGACTTTTCATTCTCAGAGAGAGGAGACACAATGCTGCTGTGCTCGTCATGCAACTGATGAAGCTCTTTTCTTCTTCCACATCCCTCCTTCGATTTCACTCTGGAGACAACTCTTTCATAGAGGGAAGGACCAAACTCCTGCCTTACTGTTTCATCTGTCTTTTCTCTGTACATCACCCCCCCCCCCCCCCCTCCTTCACGTATTTAGAAACGGTTAAGATTTCCATCATGCTCTGCGATGAAGAAGAGCAATGCACATTACAAAACCCCAAATCTGCGTTCCTCAGGACAGATCTTTATCTATCTATCTATCTATCTACAGAGGCCATATACGTTATTTTTTGGGACATACAAGGCTTGCTTTTGGACTAACAACATAAGAACCCATGAAGATCGCTTATTTACGTCTTTCGATATGTACACTTGCATACGATTGGTACTCAACACAGTACATTGATGATGTGTCCTACAGCATGTGTAGATACGGAAGAACAAGGGGTCAATATTGGAGCTTTGGGGAATGTTTTGTATCATGGTATTATGTTTCTCGCAGACACCCGTAGTAAAAGACGCATTACATCAGGGGAATAGTATGTGTACTGTGTTGTATGCACGCGAGTGAAGTAAAGACACGATAAATCCTACTCTGACTAGCATGGTTTTATTCTGGGGTAATACAATTATTACCAAGATAGAAAACTGGCGACGAGGACAACGAATACATGCGTGTTTATAGGATTAGGAGGACGTGTTTAGAGCTGGAAATACTGGAAACGACAGAAAAAAGAAACAAAAACTTTTCGAGGATACCGTTAAGACTGCCATGCTAGCAAGCTCCCAAAACCTACAGTCTACAAGAGGAGAGGAGAGACGACACAAGAGTGGTAGAGGGAAGAATTGGGAGTACAGCAAATTCAACGAATGGGAAGAAAAAGTTTGAAGAAATGGCGGGGATAACCGCGAGCGATGCTGCTTTTGATGAACAGATCGAACCATGGAATGCGTACACGAACGTGTGTAGGAATGAGTATCGTTTGGGTTTTTGCTGATACCGATGCAAAACCAATACTTTTCAAATGATACCGGTGACTAAACAGTGCCTAAACTGACAAATATATTAACATTTTAAACAATAAATTTAAATATGAATGAAAACACTTAAAGCTACTGATTTGAAGTACACTTAATGTTTCCCCTCTGTGAGAGTGTAGTTTATCTATTAGTTTATTGGAATTTGGGGAATATTAAATCTTTCAATTTTAGATTTCTGCTCTGTGCAGGATCTAAAGATATGTAACAAATATTGAAAAGCATTTATGTTTGATTGACCTTGTTTGTCTCGATTTATTGACATCATGATTGCAGGTGCAACACAGAAGAGCTGCATGAGGCACAAGAGCATCGTTTATCTACCGTGTGATAGAATTTATTATTTCTATATTCGGTTAACGCTTTGCTCTGTAAAAGATCTGCGATCTTCCGTCATTCGTGTAAGGAAATGGAGTCACGTGTCTGCAGCTCAATGTGGCATAATGACGAACAACACCGAAGGAACAACGCTACACCCTCGGTTTAATACTTCGGTGGTGGACCGTCCGAGGGGAGGGGGTAGTGGTTGTTACGGACACGCGCTCTGTGTCCGCTGGTCAGCTCGTGCTCTCCTGTGAACGCACATGTGTCTGTGTGCCGCGCGCTGTTACGTCTCTTAGTCTAGGTGTAAGGGAGCGCAACCTCCGCAAACATGAGCCCTGATGAACGCGGCGACCAGAGGTATGGGGTCGTGGTGTGAGTGAAGACTACTGACACAGGCAAACGGTGTAAACAAAATAGGAGTTTTATTCTCTCCTTAAAAGGAGAGAACCCAAACAAATGTTCAGGGGAAAAGGGGCTGGGCGAGACCAAAGCAAAGAAACAAGCAAAAAGGGTGAACACTTCCCTAACTGACCTAATTCCCCCCCCCCCCCTTTACTCTACCTCGGGCACGGATGAGGCCCGCTAACCAAAAGTACAGGGAGTGGTCCGCCCAGGTCTTGCCTAGTGTATCTAGACAGGCAGTCAGCTACGGGTGGTGTATACCCATGGGTCTCTTCCCTAACAATATCCCCTTTCCCCCCCCCCTGCAACACAGGAAGAAAAATGTTTAACTCAAATAACAAACAGTATACAAAACAAATGTAACATACACACTAACCCAAAGAGCCCACGCTCTGGGACTACCTTTTAACAAACAAACTCTCTCTCTGAACAAGATACTCACAAACCCCAATGACGGAAATAAACACAGAACCATGAGAGAGGACACCAGCGAGCCACCAGATGGGCTCTGCCATCAGAGCTGCAGAACCCCTTCTCTCAAAGATCTACAATGCCAGGTCTTTATAGACCTGCACCAGCTGCATCCAATAATGAAGGGGAGGAGTCCAGGTCGGTCATATCCAATCGGCTGCACCTTGGGTGAAGGGTAGCCATCTTGCCTGCAGATTTCCTGTACATGGAGAGACAGGACACAAACCAACACAAACACCCCCAAAACGTAACACGCCCCCCCCCCCCCCCCAAAAAGGGGCCAAACTATCCCGGGTTGGCCCCTCCATTTTATCAAAATAAAAAATAATATCAACCCCCCAAAAGAAACTACTGGGGCCGAAAACAATCATCTGCTACAATGTTGTCCGATCCCTTTTTATATTTGATGCACAAGTTGTAACTCTGCACAATTAGCGCCCACCTCATGAGCCGGCGGTTCTGATTGTACATCCTGTGGCGAAAAATTAGCGGATTGTGGTCAGTAAACACCACCACAGGGACAACACTAGACCCGACGTACACTTCGAAAAATTGAAGGGCTAATAACAAAGCCAATGTTTCCTGCTCGATGGTGGAGTACCTTGTCTGACAGTCACTGAATTTTTTTGAAAAGAAACAAACAGGTCTATCGATCCCTTCACCGTCCTGTAAGAGGACGGCGCCTGCGCCCACGGCGCTAGCGTCAACCTCCATTTTAAAAGGTTTGCTAAAATGAGGGGCTGCAAGCACCGGGGCAGTACACAGGAGTAGCTTCGCGGAATTGAACGAATGCTCACATTCCGGAGACCACTTAAACGGAACCTTGGGTGACAAAAGCGAAGACAGGGGGGCTACCACCGTCGAAACGTTTTTGCAAAACGTACGGTAATAACCCACCATACCTAGGAAACGGCGAAGCTCACGGCGCGTAACAGGGGCAGGGAAACTAGCTATGGCTTCCACCTTGCTAGCTAACAACCGAACCTGCCCATGTCCCACCTGTTTTCCAAGGTATGTAACTGTAGCTTTTCCGAACTCGCACTTTGCCAGGTTTAACGTCAGGGATGCTTTTTCTAAACGTTCAAACACCATGTCTAGCGTAGCGATATGGTCGGCCCAAGTTGACGAATATATTACGACGTCGTCGATATATGCGGTACAGTTAGGAACATCGGCAAACACAGTATTTACTAGGCGTTGGAACGTAGCGGGGGCATTGCACATGCCAAAAGGCATTACGGTATATTGCACGAAATTGTCAGGGGTCACAAACGCAGAAATCTCCGAGGCACGAGGGGTTAGAGGCACTTGCCAATACCCTTTCAACAGGTCTAACTTCGTGACAAACACCGCGGAGCCGATGCTGTCGATGCAATCTTCTATTCGAGGTAACGGATAAGAGTCTGGTGCAGTAACACCATTAACTCGCCGATAGTCTGTGCACAACCGGGATGTGCCGTCTGGTTTTGGGACTAGAATACAAGGTGAACTCCAAGCACTGTTACTGGCTTTGGCCATGTTGTTTTTTAACAAGTACTCAATCTCACCTTTCATCTTCTCCCTCTTAAACGCATTTACCCGGTACGGGTGTTGACGGATGGGGGTCGCGTTTCCTACATCAACATCGTGTGTCAAAACCGTGGTACATCAAGGTACGTCATGAAACAAGGTGAGGTAGGAGTTAATCAAGGACACAAGCTCTTGAGACTGCTCACATTCCAAATGTTTCAAAAGGGATGGTAACTTTCCCAACATTTCTGTATTACCCATACATTCACCCGGTTACACTGCATGTCTTAACTCCGGACCGTCCTCCGGGTCATCCTCCAGGTACGCCCCCGCCTGCAGCGCAACAGTGGCCACTGAAGAGACAGCGGGCTGGATGGGCTTATTGGAGAGAGTGTTAGAAGGACCTCGTGTACGGTATGCTTTCAACATGTTAATGTGACATGTCCGTAACGAACGCCTACGGTCTGGGGTCTTTATTACATAGTTAGTATCGCTGAGCTTACTATCAATCACATATGGACTTTATAGACCTGCACCAGCTGCATCCAATAATGAAGGGGAGGAGTCCAGGTCGGTCGTATCCAATCGGCTGCACCTTGGGTGTAGGGTAGCCATCTTGCCTGCAGATTTCCTGTACATGGAGAGACAGGACACAAACCAACACAAACACCCCCAAAACGTGACACGCGCTGCCAAAACACCTCCAGACTTTAATAACGGTGGGAAACACTGACTCGACGTTAAATAAATATAAATAGATTTCTAGCGAGCTACTGTAGCTACACAAGCGGTAAGCTATCGTTAGCTGCTGTGAGGACAGAGTCATCAGACTGTAAATAAAGTTATTCAATTTGGCTCAGGCACCCCTTTACCACGGGCTAGATCTGCTCTCTATCGTAACCTCTCCTCTCTCACCTATTCCATCCGCACATGTCCAGCACATCGTCACAGGGAGCTCTGGAACTGCCAGTCAGCTACTCGCAAGGCAGACTTCATCTCCGGCTTTGCTATCCAGCAGTTGCTTGACTTCATCGCTCTGACCGAGACCTGGATCCACCTGGTTTAACTTCTCTCCTCTTTTTCTGCTTCTATCTCTGCTGCCAAAAGCTCTTTCTACCAATCCAGAATCTTAATTTTCTAACCCCAAAAAACTCTTTTCGATCTTCTCCAACCTCCTCAAACCCCCTAGTCTTCCTCCCCCCTCCCCCCTTCTTCCGGGTGACTTTGTCAACTACTTTACCAAGAAAATAGCTGACATACGCTCCTCTTTCTCAAACCCACCTCCTTCTTTTTGCGTCCCATTGACTTCACCTCTATTGCCCTCACTTTCCTCTTTCACCCCCCTGTCTCCTAACCAAATTCTTAACGTAGTAACCTCTGCCCGTCCGACCACCTGCCCTCTTGACCCCATTCCATCACATCCTCTACAATGTATCGCCCCTGACCTTCTTCCTTTCCTCACAATGCTCTGTTATCTGGCTGTTATCCCAATTCTCTGAAGGAAGCAAGAGTTAACCCTCTCCTGAAGAAATCTACCCTTCTGAAGAAAGCAACTACAAACCGGTCTCTCTTCTTCCCTTTTTGTCCAAAACTCTTGAACGTGCAATCTTTAACCAACTCTCCTCCTCTCTCCACCGTAACAACCTCCTTGACCCCCACCAGTCAGGCTTCAAGGCAGGCCAAATGGTAAATTAAACCTCTAATAAAATGTTGTTTTTACAGGTTGTGGTGGCGGGCGTGGTTTGGCTCGGCTGCAGGGGGGGGACTGAGAAGGGAGTGGTTCAGGGAACGGTGCCGGGGGAGGCAATTGGCCTCAGCTGATGTTAATCAGGACTCTGCTGTTAAGTAGGAGAGAGCCGGCGACAGCGAGGGAGCGGGGCGAGGAGGCTGGAGCCGGTGTTGTGTGTGTGTGGAAATACAAATTAAACCGTTTACAATGGACCTGACTGCCTCGTGCCCGTCATTTCAAGACTCCCCCAGAGGACCGACATGTTACAGTGGCGCCCAACTTGGCTGGGGGGAGGAGATGACGGCTGACGGACACCGGCAGGGAATGCCGGCCCAGCCGCTTGTGGCGCTCGGCCAGATGATTCGAAAGCTCGGCGCCCTCAGAAAGAGCAAGGCAGGGGCTATCCCGCAATCCCTGGGGCGCTCAAGACCAGAGGAGAGACAAGACCGGGCGTTGGAACAGCTGGCGGGCAACCCGCGCCGCGCCCCTGACGCAAGGGACCCGCTGCGTTCGCCGGGCTCACGCTGCAACGAATGACTGGGGACGACGACGTCCAGTCGTTCTTGGAGACCTCCGAGGCGGCGGCGGAGGCTTGCGGCTGGCCAGCGGGGGAGTGGCCGGTCCGGCTTTTACCTCTCCTGACCGGGGAGGCGCAAATCGCGGCCATGGGGCTGCCACCGGCGGCGCGGCGCGACTACGCCACCGTTAAAAAGGCCGTGGTGGACAGACTGGGGCTGTTGCCAGAAGACCACCGCCGGCGGTTCCGCGAAGCCAGGCTGGGGCCCGGGGACCGCCCGTTCGCGTTCTGCCAGCGGCTGAGAGATGCGGCCACGAGGTGGCTGCAGCCGGACGGCGCTGGAGGAGTCCAAGGGGTGTTGACGCGGGTGGTGCTGGAGCAGTTCGGGGAGGGGCTCCCGGCCAGGACAGCGGCGTGGGTCCGGTGCCACCGTCCGACGACCTTGGAGGCAGCCATCACCCTGGCGGAGGGCCATCTGGCGGTGCATCCCAACGGGCAGAGTGACTGGGAGAATTCGCCAGCGTTGGCCGGACCAGGAGCTGCGCCGCGACCCAGGCCGGCTCCGCGGCTGGTGCCTTTTTACCCTGCCCACGACCCACCGACCTCGGGGAACTCGAGCACCCTTCCCAACCCACAGAGAGGTTCTCAAGCGCCGGGGCAGGAATGTTGGAGGTGCGGGCGGCTCGGTCACCTCCGGAGAGAGTGCCCGCTGAGGGAGGTGGGACAGGTGATCCGAGTCGCCGGCGTTCCGGCACCCTCCCCCGGTCCGGGAGCGACGTACCGCGTTCCGGTAAGAATCCAGGGGGGTACACGCCAGGCGATGGTGGATTCGGGCTGCACGCAGTCTATGATTCATCAGAGCCTGGTTCGTCCTGGGGCATTGGTGGAGGCAGACCGGGTGAGAATAAGGTGTGTGCATGGGGATGTTCACGAGTATCCTGTGGTATCGGTGGAAATTAGATATGCGGGGAAAAAGCATAGAATGAAGGTCGCGGTTAGCTCCCACCTGATGCACCCCGTCATTTTAGGTACAGATTGGCCGGGGTTTGGTAAATTAATGGGCGGGGCAACGGGGCTGCGTTCACGACCGACAGGGTTATGCGAGATGTGTGCTGTGCTCAGCGGTGACGCGGGGTCGTCCGACGCTGCAGACGGGGAGGGGGAGCCCGCGGAGCCTCCTGTAGAGACACCACCGGCTCCAGAGTTTCGCTCCATGGAAGATTTTCCACTCGAACAGTCTCGTGACGATACCCTACGCTCAGCCTACGACCAAGTGATACGTATTGATGGTCACCTGGTGCGCCCTGACGCAGCGCAGTCATTTCCGCACTTTTCATTGATTAGGGACAGACTGTATAGAGTGCAGATGGGGCAGGAAAACACACAGTTGCTGGTGCCGAAAAGCCGCCGGGAAATCATCTTCCAGGCGGCTCATTATAACCCGATGGCTGGTCACATGGGATACGAGAAAACGCTAGACCGGATAATGACCCGATTTTATTGGCCAGGCATCCAGGGGGACGTGCGCCGCCGGTGCGCGTCCTGCCCGGAGTGTCAGTTAGTGAACGCTCCGGCCATTCCGAGGGCGCCGTTGCGTCCTCTGCCGTTGGTGGAGGTCCCGTTCGAGCGGATCGGCATGGACCTCATCGGGCCGTTTCACCGGAGCGCACGCGGATATCGCTTTGTGTTAGTTCTCGTGGATTACGCAACGCGGTATCCGGAGGCAGTGCCGTGGCGCAGGCTCTGTTTCAGGTCATCTCCCGAGTTGGAATCCCTAAGGAGATTCTGACTGACCAGGGCACCTCGTTCATGTCGCGCACACTGAGAGAACTTTACGGGTTACTGGGCACTAAGTCCATTCGTACGAGCGTGTACCACCCGCAGACGGATGGGCTGGTGGAACGAATGAATAAGACTTTGAAGTCCATGATCCGTAAATTTATTAGCGACGATGAACGTAATTGGGACCACTGGCTTGACCCTCTGTTGTTTGCAGTGCGGGAGGTTCCCCAGGCCTCCACGGGATTTTCTCCCTTTGAACTTTTGTTTGGCAGGACGCCGCGGGGGGTGCTGGACCTGATTAAAGAAAACTGGGAGGAAGGTCCGAGCCCCGGCAAGAATGAGATCCAGTACGTCCTGGACCTGCGAGCAAAACTCCACACACTGGGCCAGATGTCACGAGAGAATTTGCTGCGGGCCCAGGAGCGACAACAACGGCTGTACGACAGAGGGGCCAGGCTGCGACGATTCACACCGGGAGATAAGGTACTTGTATTGCTTCCTACTTCCAACTCTAAACTCCTAGCCAAGTGGCAAGGGCCCTTCGAGGTCACACGGCAGGTGGGGGACGTTGACTACGAGGTGGTGCGGTCTGACAGGGGCGGGGGTACACAGATATACCACCTGAACCTCCTGAAAGCCTGGAGGGGGGTGGAGTCCGTCTCTCTGGTCTCTGCGGTATCGGAAGGGGAGGAGCTGGGGCCGGAGGTTCCAAAAGCGGGTAATCATACCTCGCTCCCTCGAGACGCTCATCTCTCCGAGAGCCAGAGGGCGGACGTTGCCAGGTTGCAGGAGCGGTTTGCTAATGTTTTCTCTCCCTTGCCAGGCCGGACCGACCTCATAGTTCACAGTATCGAGACGCCCCCGGGCGTGACAGTGAGGTCTCGACCCTACAGGTTGCCCGAACACAAGAAAGAGGTGGTTCGGAGGGAATTGGCGAGTATGTTGGAGTTGGGGGTAATAGAAGAGTCCAACAGTGCCTGGTGCAGCCCCATCGTCCTTGTGGCTAAGAAGGATGGATCTGTACGGTTCTGCGTGGACTATCGCAGGGTGAATGACGTGTCACGGTTCGATGCCTACCCAATGCCCCGGGTCGACGAACTCCTGGACCGGCTAGGCACTGCACGTTTCTTCACGACACTGGATTTAACCAAGGGCTACTGGCAGATTCCTCTGTCGCCAGAGTCCAAGGAGAAAACGGCATTCTCCACCCCGTACGGTTTGTACCAATTTACCACACTTCCCTTCGGGCTGTTCGGGGCCCCGGCCACGTTTCAGCGTCTCATGGATCGGGTGCTGCGTCCGCACGCGGCATATGCTGCCGCTTACCTGGACGACGTGATTATCCACAGCACCACCTGGGCGGAGCATGTGCGGCAGGTG